TCCTTAATGAATATACATATATATTTTTAATATTTGTTGATTTAATACTTTAATAACTTTAAGCTCTGGAAAAATAGGAACTGTATCTATTAAGTCTACTTTTTTTTCAGTACCCAGCTTGTTTAATAAAGGTCACAAAATAGATATTCCAGGTCATCTACAATAGGCTGAGGGGGAAAAAATGTGTTCCTATCTGTTACCCCTCTGCCTTTGCTCATGGCAGACATCACTAGTTGATAACACTATTCTCTTGATGGATGCAGATGCAGCCTTAAAACCCTCAGGAGGGCACTACAGGTAAAAACCCCTGATCTACTAGAATCATCACTGGGAACTTTCAGAAGCAGACAAATCCTTTTTAGTCATCTAAGAACTTGGGCCTGGATAGGGAGCATGCGGATGCAGGCCCTGTCCAGACTGCCCTGTCCTTCTGGAGTCATGCCTAATTGCCTGGATGTAAGCCATGCATTTCCAGAGTTCTGCCTCTGAATATTTTACACATCAAGATGAATGTTCCAGCCCTGAGCTTTCAGTGCTCGGCTATCTTTACTTACTAAATATTTTAAATGACAGAGAGGTGGTTAAAAGTGAACACACTCTTGCCTAAGTCTGCCTCTCTAAACACACGATGCTGTGCAAACACCTTAGCGAGGTGAATAGTGAGGTATCTGAAGTTGAAGATGACACCATCACCATTCCAGTTCTTCTACTGGAATCCTTTACCATACGTAGAATTTTACGAAGCTAGAGCCTCATCTTCTTCCAGTTTGCTGCTTTCCATTCTTTTCAATGACAATTTATATGGCGAATACTACAAGGTCTCCAAGTTCCCACTTCAGCTCTGAAGGTATTTGTTCTGAGACGTCTCGGTGCAGAGCCTATGAAGTGCTGTTGGCCACCGACCAGACCCCCGGTGTGCTCATCTAAGTGGGGGAGCGTTCAACATTTGCACTCCTCACAGGGTGCCCAGGCTGATAAATTATGTCCTGGCAGTTATCTTACTGTGCCAACAATGAATGCTCCAGGCAGAAAATCAGACCAATGGGAAAGAAGGAACCCTTTTTCCCCAAATGTGTTTTTAATTACAGTTTTAACAAAGATGAAGCAAAACCAGGGAAGTGCAAAATAATCACAAGGATCTTACAAAATAAACATCATTTGTCTTCAGAATTATATCCACCGACGCTAAAACTGTTGTTGTTTGTCCAGACAATGGGACCTTCTCATTAACAGCATTTGTTCATGAACCCCAAATTAAATATGCCTTTGCTTTAACAACCAAATAATTATATGGGGAAAATACCAACTGTAAAATAAATCACACTGGCATGGAAGATTCAAATGAAGCCACAGCTTGATCAAAGAGATTCATTAGTTGATGCTCATTTGCCATGGTAAATTTTTCAAATCACATATAGTCAAAAGTGATCTGTTACTGTGTTCCAGGAAGTCACAATATGTCCTCTCATGTCATGAATGGTGTTACTCATGGTCAACATTCCCTGCACTAAAATTTTGTAAAAGCAAACAGGCCAGATGATTCAGTGGATAGAGGTGCTTGCTACCGAGCCTGAGTTCAAGATCCAGAGCCTACATGATAGAAGGAGAGAACCAACTCCCAAAGGTTAACCTCTGACTTCCACATATGTAACACACACACACACACACACACACACACACACACACACACACACACACACACATACACACACACACACACGTACACACACACACACACACACAGAGAGAGAGAGAGAGAGAGAGAGAGAGAGAGAGAGAGAGAGAGAGAGAGCAAGAGAGAGAGAGAAGAGGAGGAAGAGGAGAGGGAGAGAGGGAGGAGAGAGGAACACCATACAAATAAATAAATGTAAAAAGTTGAAAATGTTATGAAACCAAGCGTTGCAGTAGCAACTATTCTCGGTCAGTGTTCCCTGGACTCCAAATCCCCACTTGTGGGAGTTAGACACATACACAGAGACAGAAATATAAACACCTATTGTGTACCTCTCCATTTTCTGAGAACCTTTTTTTCTTAAAATACAGAAATGAAAACAGCCTCCCATATCTGAGATGAATCCTAAATAATGAAACTCCATGCACTCTTAAGGACTGCTGGCTGGCTTTCTCTATGCAATTAAATCGAGTAGTCTGGCTGTGCCCGTGAGCAGCTGGATGGCAGACTTCGCCTTGCTCCCATGCCATCGTCTCTTGCATCAGGGTTTTCATCTTTCAGTGGCTGCATCAGAAATGCATCCAGCTGGTTTAGGCAGAAAGGGGCTTTTTCTGGAAGCATACGTACGCTTTCACAGTCCTGAGGGGCTCCGATCAGATGTGCCTATGCTTGGCACTCTCCGAGATCCTGCTTGCTCCTTGTGCACACACGTTTATTTCTTGCTTCTTTCTGCGGACCAGCCTTTGGTGCAAGTGGGTCAAATGCAGCCCCTTCAAAACCCAGCACTCCCAGATTTCCTGTTAACTCCAAGTTCGTCCATGCTCTCTTGGGGAATGGAAAGAGGTTTCTTCTGTTGTTACAATGTTAAATGATCAAGACTTAGGAAAGGAAGGAAGGAAGGAAGGAAGGAAGGAAGGAAGGAAGGAAGGAAGGAAGGAAGGAAGGAAGGAAGGAAAGGCAGGTAAAGGAGAAATACTTGGAAAACAATTATGATATGCCCAGACAGATCTGATATCAGAAAGTAAAACATAATTATTAGTTATTTCATTTCTCCTTCTGCCCCGGTGTATCAAAATTAGCTGGTCTTTCTGAAGTCTATTGCTTGACTGAATAATTAAGCCTGCCTCAACCCTCCTTCACGGTGCTGTCTAGGAGGGCAGGAATGGTTCATATTCCTGGCTGATTGAAGGATTCAAAGGTATAGGGAGGAAATGTTACCGGCAATCTCAGGGAGTCTTGTGAGAGCTAGCATATGATCCTGGGAACATAAGGGTCCCCTCTTAGGGTTATCCATCTCAATAATGAAAAACCAGGAGTAAAGTAGAAGGTGGATACAGTTTATTAGAGTCTGAAATAAAAACCCCAGAGCACTCAAGCTATAAACCCTGCAGCTCCTATACTGGGAAGAGAATGGAGGAGATAAGTTGACGTGGACATTAGCTGCACGGTGACAGGTAGTCACATGGTAGGAGAGACTTTTAGAAGAGTGGTCAGGAAGCCTAGAGCATTAGGGGGTTTGAAGGCATACATAGGCTCTGACTCACATCTAAGAGAAAAAGAGGAGAGAAAGGAATAGTTAGGCCTTTCTATTAACACAGGAATACAGGCAGACCCATCTGAACTCCAGGATGGCTCACAAAGACTGCGCTAGTGGGTAAGAATTCTGGGAAGGGAAAGCACATTATCTTAACTTGAACTGCCAGACTGAATTAACTCATAAGCAGGGAGTGCCCAAGGCTTGTCTCTAACTAGAGATGGGTTCTGTTCTTTACTATAACATTAGGAAGTGGGAAATGTGCAAATTCTTAATGGATAAATGACTACATGTCTGCAGGTCCACTTCCTGGAACATCAGCGTGTTCCTTGAGTACAGAAGGCGAAGGTGTCGAGTCAGTCTGTGACACTGGCCTGGTCCCAGAGAGATTTTAAAAGCCTGAGAGGAACTATGAATGTCAGCAGATTCACTCAGCCCTCTGAAGTAAGACCAGAGCAGAAAGAGGGTGCTGGGACAAAAGACCATGCCACACCACTGCAACGGGTGGGCAATTTGGGGGTTTTTTTTACAGGTGACTTCCTAGCAGCCCGGAGGGGCTGAGGGAAATCAAATTTTTATTGTGTTCTCTCCTTTAATGCTCTGCGGTGAACCTTCCAAATTGGAAGATCAGATTCTGGGCTTGTAAAAAGTTTACTGCTTAAACTTCTCAAGGGAAAGGACAAAAGGCCAAGAACAATTTAAGACAGAATGAAAAAAGGAGGACTCTTAACTTTTTTCCACGAGCCCAGTCCTAACTTTTGCCTATGCTGTGCAAAAATGTGTTACACATGCAGTGAACAAACTGGGCTAGGTACCTGGAGACCCAGTAGTTCTACCTGCATCCCAGCCTTTGTAGGTAGATCTTTGCCTAGTGGAGGGTGGCGAGCTAAGCTTTAGTGAAGGGATGAAGCAGTAAGAATAGGCTAGTTTGGTCATCCCATGATCCTCCTCTTCTGCACTTTCCTTTGCTAGCAATGCTGTTACAAAGGTCTTGGATGAGGGGTGCTTGTCTAGAGGTATCACTGGATTCATCCCATGGGAATTGAGAAAGAATTGTGTGTCCCACAAAGAAGACCTACTGGGACAGGATAGTGAGATGACAGATGGAGAGAGGAGGTACTGGCTGACTGCCAGCTAGAGATCTGAGGTGGGGATGTGAAAGCTGCAGCTGCCTGAGAGTGAAATAGAAGAGATGCTAAGGGTATTGGGAAGAAAGGAACTGCTGTAGATGTGAGGCAGGGATACCTACATCGCAATCACCAGAGAGTTAAAGTAGGGATCCTGATGATCTCAGAGAATAACAGTTACAGATAGAGCATCAGTGACAGATCTACCCAAGTCCAAGTTGAAAAACTGATGAATTTATTGGGGTCACCTACAGGACTGAGTGGTTAGTTATAGGAGCATGGACAGCTCCAAAACAGCTGAGCACTGGAGAAGCCTACCCCCGCATGGTAACAGCTCATGAAAGTTGTAACATTGGTCCTCACTGTACAACAGTCACACAACTCAATGTCCCCCCTCTCCCCAGAAGTTCTTACTATTTCTATAACTTTAGTAGTCAAATGACCTTGATCTTCTTATAAGCTTCAGGGACTTCCTGAGACTTGTGAGTTGTTTACCACTGAATCTAAAGGAGCCTCCTCCTGTAATAGAATGTTTCATGTTAGAACTTCCAGAGTCTTAATGAGCAGCTCTCCAGGATGGAAATGTTTGAATTTGGAAGGCTGTTCCTGTCCAATATCTAGTGTCCTCTGTGTCCTGTAAACACTGTTTTCTGTTTTGAAATTACAGAGTCTGTCATCCCAAGTAGTGGAACATTTCACGTAAAACTGCCTAAGAAGCACAGCGTGGAGCTTGGAATAACCATCAGTTGTAAGTAGAATGGGCTTCTCTTAGAATATTAGGACTTAAAGATGCTGTAGAATTCCGTTGCCAAAGGGTTTACAGGTGTGGCGAGTATTTTCAGTTTTCTTCCCCAGTTTCAGTGTCACCCTATGAAACTCTGGAGCCAGTGGCACAGCCAGCACCTGATGGCCTTGGGAGGGAGATCAGCAACTTCAAGTTCTCTCTGCAGTTGCATTTGTTTCTCTATAAGATGGACATGAAGGCTCAGAAGAGAGCTCATTTGGTGAAGTGTGTGCCATGTAAGCATAAAGATCTGAAAGAGCCCAAGCTTCCATGTAAACAGCTGGAGACAGCAGCACACATCTGTAGTCCCAGAACTGAAGAGCTGGAGACAGCAGGCTTACTTAGACTTGCTGGCCAGAATGTCTCACCAAATCAGTGAGCTCCAACATCAGTAAGAGATCCTGTCTCAAAAAATAAAGTGGAAAATGATTGAGAAGGATGTCAGATCCCATCCTCTGGATTTCACATGCATGTGTACAAACTTGTGCACACACACACACACACGCAGACAGACACACAGAAAGAGAGAGAGAGAGAGAGAGAGAGAGAGAGAGAGAGAGAGAGAGAGAGAGAGAGGAGAGACAAAAAACAGAATATAAATAAAAGCAAGACTTCCATGAAGTATAGGGCTAAGTCTTTATAGCATCTGTATACTTTGTATGCTGTCCAGCAAGTCATAGTACTCAGTATTTCTCACATGCCAATATATAAATGATTAGATGAATAATTAGATGAGCAGAAATATACATATGGGTTCTCTACACGTTTATGTTCTGTGCTGTTCTCTAATGAATACAAGAAAGGGTAATCTAACTCAAAAAGTACTTTTATATATTCCCAAGACTTTCTATGAGTCTGCCCTGTCTCTGTAATCCATTCCATGAGACTCAATCAATGCCTTTCCATGAATTCCTGAATCACTCATGGTACCTGGTCTGGATAACCAAACCAAAATGAAAAAGCATAATATACAAATGTGCTTAATTCTCTTCCTCTAGGGATCTAGTTTTATAACTGCTTTGATAAATCCACTTTGAAAATTCCAGTCCCAGTGGACCTTTATAGAACAGGATAGAAATCGAGATTGTTTTGTACTCTTACTATCCACAGACTGAGTTTATCAATAAATGCCCCCAAGCATATGAAACCAATGGTTAGTGCATAAGGACCAAGGAGACACAGAGGCAGAGACTATGACCACAAGGTTGTCCCCTTCAAGAAAGAATAATGAGATGAAATAAAAATGCCTCAACACACTGCTGGATGGAGTTTATGTCAGTGCTTATGGCAAAAACAAATAAAAAGAGTCCTCAATTGGGTAGTATGAAATAAGGCTGTCCAGTTCAACTTTAATGGTATAAATTTAACACTAAAACTGCACTTTTATTTATAATGGTGAACCACACACATCCGCTGGGCTACTAAAATAAGTACCACTGCGTTGCACAGCCTGTCCAGGAATAAGATGCCAGGTGTCTAACACTGTCCACTCACCCACCCACCCCGAGGAACCTTCTGCGAGGGAAGTTACAAGACACAATGAAGTAACACTTAGAGCATGTGAAACACCGTCCTGCAGTGTAACTTAAAATGATTCGACATGTGAATAAAACAAATATGTTATAGTAAGTGAATGACATCTCAAGTTGTGTGCGTGTGAGTGTGCATGTGCATGTGCGTGTGTGTGTGTGTATATGTGTGTGTGATGAGTGTGGAAAGCAGAAGCCAACTGGGGTGTCATTCCTTGGGAGCTATCCACCTTTGTCTTTAAAACAGGGTCTCGGGGGCTGGAGAGATGGCTCAGAGGTTAAGAGCACTGACTGCTCTTCCAGAGGTCCTGAGTTCAATTCCTAGCAACCACATGGTGGCTCACAACCATCTGAAATGAGATCTGGTGCCCTCTTCTGGCCTACAGTCATACATGTTGTACACATAATAAATAAATAAATCTTTAAAAAAAAAAAAAAAAAAAACAGGGTCTCACAGTGGCCTGGAACTTGCTCATCAGGCTACGCATGCTGGCCAGTGAACCCCAACGTTGCCTGTCTCCACTTGCACAAGGCGGGCATTACAAGTGCCTGATACCATACCTGGATTTTTTATGTGGGTTCTGGTATCAAATCCATGTCCTCATACTTTTGTGGCAAGCACTTTGCTGAACATTTCCTTAGCCCTCAATTTTTACGGATACTGAAAAAATCAAATTTTTTAATAAATTTTAAGAATATCTATTTATATCAAATAACCAAAGGAAAAAAAAACCATTTTCTTAAGTAAAATTTGTGATTAAAGCAGTGTTGGTCATGGCGATGGAAACTCCTGAGGGGGCGTCCACTCATGGGCAGGGTACATCAAAACTTATTAATGTGTAGACACCCGCAAACTGCTTCAAGAATGTCTTGAATCTCATCCCATCATGTGCAACTGTTTTTTGTGAAGCTGTGAGTGTTGCGCTGTTCCAGATGGAGGAGGGATGCACAGGTTTCTCACACACACACACACTTGTCAGCTCCTCGGAGCTCTGATTGCACTTACACGAGTAGTCATCACTATACTGAGTGTGTTTCTTCCTAGAAAATACGAGTAATTGACAAGCCAAGGAAACATAATTTGCTATAAAAGAAAAACAAAGACAAAAAGGACAGCCAGGATTTGTATTCATTGCAATGAGAGAGGAAACTCCCCAAGGCCTCTCTACATTCCCAGCACACACGAGGTCTTCATTCAATGCCTGTATCTGTTGCATGGATGGATATGGCGTCTTTATCAGCAATGTTCTACTAAGCACTATGCCCTCCAGGAAAGGAGCCTTTGAATAAGACAGTGAATACAAAGTGCTGAGCAGACCATTGCATGGATTAAAGATGTGGAGAATGGTCAAGAGCAAGGATTGAAAGGCCAAACTGCCACTCTCTGTAGAAGGATGCACATATTAAATGCATATATATATACATATATACACATATACATATACATATATATACACACACAAATACATATATACATATATAACCAGAACACATTGTGAACCTCAGCACATGTTAGCAAGATGGTGATCATTCACTACTTTACACAAAGCCTTGTGAAATATTTTAAGCAAATCTCTAGATAACAAACATCTAATGCTCACACCAAAGTACATAGTATGAAATTCTCAAATGATAAGTGTTAAAAAATATATTTTTTAAAAATCCAGTATTCACTACAATGGTGTTGCATAGGCAGGAAATCCAGGCACCTTCTCCTCAAACACACACGGGTTCTGAGTGAAGCTGAGGGCTTGCCATGGCTTATTGATTTTTTTTCCACCATCTTTGTACAAAATCCCCTTTCTGCCTTTTTCACCTCATGAAATCTCTGTGTTCAGAAGTGGACCTCCATCTTGAGAGGCATACATGTCCTTGGTGTGTCCAGTTAGCTTCCATCACAGTGGTTCTCAAGCTGGGGGTCATGACCCCCTTATGACTATCAGAAATATCAGATATTTATATTACATCCATAACCAGAGCAAAATTACAGGTATGAAATAGCAATGAAAATAATGTTATGGTTGGGGGTCACCACACCACGAGGAACTGTGTTAAAGGGTCGCAGCATCAGGAAGGTTGAGCACCACTGCTCCATTGTAGGATTCATGCATGCCTTCACTTGTGCAGCTACACTGCAGACCTCATTGAGTGAGAAATGGCCTCCTCTGATTGGATGTGGTGAACAGTTTTAGGCCCATTCTCTTAGGTTCTTGATGAAACATTGACGGTACGTTAGACCAGGCATTACTTTCATTAATGTTGCGATACTATGGAATGATTTATTATAATAAATGAAGTGGAGTCAACTAACAAAAAGGACAGTGTTTTGGAACACAGCCACACCCTGGTGCCCAGCCAGTCCAGAATCACAGCTCCTACCTTCCAACAAGGCCACCACCTACATGTCAAGTCGGAGAACTTTGGCTGTCTCTGTCCTGTGAGCCCTTGTCATTGAAGCCTTTTTGACATTGGTATTTTCTTTTGAGCTTTTGCAATAGGGATTTGTCCCCCACTGGGCTAGACATGGCACTGTGTGATTGTGGGTGTTTTCTTACTTATTCCTCATAGCAGCCCTGGGATGGCCCCATTCTACAGAGAAGAATGATATAGTTCAACTGCATAGCTGTCCAAAAGACCCAAAGTTAATAAAAGGCAAAACAAGGATTCCCAACATATTCTGTCAGCCTGAATGCTAGCTTTCTTGTCCCCGTACCGTTCAGCCCTGTCACCGTCTGATTGATGAGCCTTCCCAGAGCCTAGATCGGAAAAGCAAAAGGCAGCATTCTATGCATGTGGTTAATTTCTTGGTCTTCTTTCTGACATGTGACTGGATTCACTGCAGAAACAAAGGCTTAGTTTTCTTTTTTATTTTCATAAAAATCACAAAGGGGGGCTGTATGGCAGGTACAACAAATTTTCATCTTTTCTATAAAAATAACTGTCTCCCAGCGAGGGTGATCAATGATTGTAACACTTCTGAGATTAAACAATGGTGGGCGAGCACATGCTATCTTGACATGAGAAAAATGGGAGATTTTTTCAGTGGCAAAATCATCTATGAAGATCAAGAAAAGGAAAATGAATGATAGCAACAGACTCAGACAGGGAACCTCAGTGCATTTTATATTCCCAAAAGGACCAAGAATTGGTGGCATTCAGAACTTGGGGTGTGTAAGAATAATGGTATAGCTCAGCCAGTAGGATTAGTTGAAAGCTAAGAATCAATACATTAGTCTCTGGGATAGTTTCTCCCCCTCGGTGTAGCCAAGTGTCTCTCCCAGAAGCTTTGGGATTTATATCTTCAAAAGCATGAACTAGAGAACTCTGTAGAATAAAGGAATGCAACTAAATTCTGCAGAAGAGGAAAGAAATGGGATGCTCTGTGACTTGATTCTGGACACTGTTGACACAGCCATGCTAAAGTCGGTAGTAAATCCTGACCATGCAAAGATTAGTTGTAAAAAACCATGTTGGAAGAACGAAGAGGCAAGAAAGAGCCATGAACGTGGTGATGATCTGAGAAGGAAGGGAACAAACCCGTGTGGTTCATAACACAAGAGAATGACTAAGAAGATTATAGCAATAGTGGAGAGGGTGCCTGAACTGGCCTTCCCCTGGATTCAGATTGGTGACTACCCTGTCATCATAGAGCCTTCATCCAGTAACAGATACAGAGATCCACAGCCAACCACCAGACCGAGCTCCGGGAGTCCAGCTGAAGAGAGGGAAGAGGGATTCTATGAGCAAGGGTGGTCAAGATCATAATGGGGAAGTGTACAGAGATTTCCAAGCTCACAGGAACTCACAAACTCTAGACCGACAGACAGCTTTGGAACCTGCATAGGACCAAACTAGACCCTCTGCATACAGAAGACAGTTGTGTAGCTTGGTCTGTTTGTGGGGCCCCTGGCAGTGGAAACCAGGATATATCCCTGGTGCATCAGCCAGCTTTTTGGAGCCCATTCCCTGTGGTGGGACATCTTGCTCATCTTCTTCCCCTTGATGCAGGGGGAAGGGGCTTGGTCCTGCCTCAACTGATTGTACCAGGCCTTGTTGACTCCCCATGGGAGGCCTTACCCTTTTGGAGGAGTGGATGAGAGAGAAAAGCAGGGGGTAGTGCAGGAGGAGGGATGGAAGGAGAAACTGGTTGGTATGTAAAATGAAAAAATTAATAAATAAATTTTTTTAAAGATTGAAAAATAAACTAGTAACGTTATATGTCATGTCACAAGTGGAATCAACCAAAGAAATTGAAAGTGTATGTTCCTCAAACTAATGTGGAGATATGTCCCCAATAAATGGATTATAAACTATTACATGTAACATAGCAATACAGTACACTGTAATTGGGTTGTTTATCTGTGAACTCATGGCCAATGGGAAGCAATGGCTTGCTGCCCTTGAACAGTATCAAAAGAGACTGCTATGCCTCATGTTGCTAGGCTCTCGCATCAAAATTCAAGGATGGCGTCTACTGAAAGAAATTGCTCTCACCCTATCAAATCTCAAAATCATAAATGAATCACCTTAAAGGCAGGAATCATCTGCATTTGCATCTGGGGAAACAGGAAGTCGAAGAGTTGCTTGTGCACGATTTCTAATTAAATCGTGTGGACTTGTATTTTTGACACAAATAGAAAGTAGGAGCTGTCAAGATGGTTCAGTTGGTAAATGCTTTAACAGTTTAGTTTATTTCAAGCATGAGGACCCGAGCTGCATGCTCAGAATCTGTGTAGAGATGCTAGGTGTGGTAGCATGCACTTATATCCCAGCATTGGAGAGATGGAGATGGAAAGGTCCCTGGAGTTTGCTGGCTAGCCAGTCTATATTACGAGAAATCCATGAGTCTGCTTAAAGGGTGGAGGGATTTACTAGGAAGGAAAACTCACTACAGCACCGGAGATTTATCGTAGGGTCCTGGAAGACTGAGGTACAGTCCCACGCTGTTCTTCTGCCTGGTCCATCTCAGCATCCAAGCCCATGAGGGAGAGAAGATAGTGGCATACATGCATCTCAGGTCTTAAGGGTAGCCCTAAGCCATGTCCCAGGGGCAGATGTGTCAAGGTTATAGGTAGGTAGGACGGTTACCTGCTCATCTCTAGGGGTGGTGCTTCAGGGTCATAGACAGCACCACTATCTACTACAAGTCTGTTTTAATTGGTTAGCACTATGTCAGAATGAAACACACACACATACACACACATATACATACACTAAAAAAATTGTATGCCTACATTCTGAAAAGCATTATAAGAAGTTTCTCTTTGAGGTTTAAGAACATGCACCTATGGGCAACATGAAAAATTCCAACTTTGTAATACAACATAGATAGATAATTGTGATGAGTTCTGAGCAAGCTGTGGATGATTCATGTGTCACTGCTTGGGTGCATTAACAATGACATTAGAGACACAAGTGGAGCTGGAGTTAAAGTCATTTCATTAAGTGTAAGTTGGAAAAAGGCTCTACTAAGTTTAACCTCCATCGTGGATGCCCACAAGTTCACAGTGTTGGTCCCTTGTCCCCTGTGCAGTTCTGTTTAATTGGCCAATGACAGTGAGACTTCAAGGAACCCCTATTGTTTGTCTTTGGCTTTCACATTATAATCTTTGCTTGTTCTTCCTTTGTGAGTCACTCTCTTGACCCATTCGTGGTAGACCACCCCCTCCGCCCGTCCCCCAGAACACGGGTATGGCTTCTCCAGTGGAAGTAACATCTCATAATAGAGAAAACGATTTCATTTATCGTGACCTCATGAGATCTAACAAGGCCCGCCTCTCTTTTTTAAACCAATTTCTCTGAGATTTCACAACCAGAGCCCTGTGCAGAGATGCCCAGCTCATGCTTGGTGTTCTGGAAATGTGTGCTAAGTAAGCGCCTGGTTTTGTGGCCAATTCCAACCAAATCCAAAGCATTGGGGGAGGGGGGGTGTTACTTCTTGAAGGATCACAAGTCTGAGCAAGAGCAGATGGATAAAAACAGAGACAAATGAAAGACTGAGGGATCCACTTATATTATTGGAGTAGGGAAATGAGTTCAATGGGGCTGGATAGTAATAATAGTAAACAGTAAACAATGCAGACAGAGAGCATGTTGTGTGCATTGGTCTAATCACTCTGCCTTTCATGACTCACATCATCCTCTCAACAGAAACTCTCAGGTAAAGACAGTGAGTATTCACCATATGCTGCACAGATGAGAACCTGAGTCATCTATGGACTTTGCACTCAAGTAATCAGACCAGAATACCAGAGCTAGGACTTCAGCCCCAACCATTATGACCACCAAATGCTGTTTCTTAATCACTACACTACATTGGCCGGCTTTTCCATTACCAAAGCTACATATCTATATAAAAATCTATTCACATTTAATAATAGTGACCTGCTTGGTAGGTTTAGAGCACTATGCACCAAGCAACATATGCTTAATTTGTTATTTTCTAGGCAGAGAAGGATTTAGCATTGTGGTAGGGTGTTAACAACAGCTACTAATCGTTCAAGGATTCATTGCCACATCTGTGCCTGGTAGTGAAAGAGACAGGGCACATATAGGTCTGAACACACTTCTGTGTTCAATATCTTCACCCCAGTAGACATCCACCAAGAATGTTTGATGTTTCAAATATGGATGTAGTTAAAAGAGAAACGGGAGAATCTAGAAAGATGAGGATGGTCATCATGTGCATGTAGGTATGTAGAGCATATGAAGTTTCTGGCTTCTAGGAAAAATTGTGCAGGATTGTCCTCTACATCATGATACTATTTTCCTCTCTTTCAAAGAAGGGTGAGTTTGACATATCTTCTTGTTCTTTCTATTGCTGGTTTTCCATTTCAGTGGAATGTGGGCCTTTTTAATTAAAAAGAAACACTTGCATGTTATATGATGGTTATTATAGGTTGGCAAGATACAATGCAAATTCATTGGCAGATAATAATAGAATAATGCTTGCATGTAATAAAGGTTTATGTATTTGTGTGTTTGTTGACATGCCCAATGCCCAGAACTATTTCTATTTTAGAATATGACATGAGTAAAATTGGTAGGTGTTTGTGTCTATGGGTAAGCCATACCAAATCATTGAGTGAAGGTTTAAATAATGAGTCAGTTGTAGTGAATATACTGTTCTGCACACTTTGCTGGCAGCTAATGTTAGTGATTAGTGAAATCTCATTAACATTTACTCAGGACTAATTGCAATAGAGGATAAGGTATTGGGGATGTTGGTTTTCCTTTAAATATGATGTTGAGCTGTTAAACCATCTGTTCTTATGCACAAACATTTTTCTGGGATTCAGAAGGGATTATGGGATATGATATGGTTCTGTGATTATTATGGGATGATCAGCCTGTTTGTGATAAAATCTTACTTCGGGGGCCTCTTAATGTTCTCTAAGAGGAAACCATCACAGGTTTCAGGTTGGCAAAGCATCTTCTCTCAGAGGCCACTTGTTTTTTTTTTTTTCCACAAATGTTGATATCCTAAATGAAATCTAAACTTTAAAAAGATGGTTTCTTTGTGCTTCTCTGGGCCATAACTCATATCCAGAGTTAATTCCAAGGAAGTCCCTTTCCAAATTTTTTTTTAATTCTTATCAAATGGAAGTCCTACCCCAACTAAGTGTAAAGGCTCCAAATATTTGACCACTCAGATTGATAATAATTTTATGTGCAGTTTAATAAGGGCTATATGTATGCTTAGAATATACATACACATGTATGTATTTAGTTGACTAATAAAATATTTGCTATTGTAACAAAATAAGTAGTCACATCCCAAAGCACTCTAGAGCTTTCTAGGTAAAACTGTTTGGGCAGAACACAGAGATTTGTATAGTCCACGCACCAAAAATTTTCTTCTAGAAAATGTAACTATTAAAGCAGTGATTACTGCTCTATGTCCCTCCCAGTGCCCTTGAGTAACTCGGTGAGCACCCGTCAACAAAGTGGTACCTCCTTTCTAGAGAGGCGTGGAGGAAGGGGTAGGAGACAGGCTCGCACTCAGTATCACCAAAGTGAGCTATTCTAAATTGATTTCATTATTCTCCTGTTGAGGAGCCGACCTTTCAGGTCACTGACCTAAACCTGATGATCAGCTCTTCAGCCGCTTTCTCCAATTACAAATTGAAATGACCATCTTGCTGGTCAGCAGATAAATACTTTTACATGAATGTTTTTGTAGATTTAATATGCATACTTTCCAATCATTTGTTGGTTGCCTTTGATTTACATATAAACTCTGTTGACAGTTACTTGGATGAGTCCTGGTTATAAAGATGTGATATCTCGATCTATCTTTATTATTACAGCACCATCCAGTAGAAAACCTGGCGACCCTCTTGTCATTTCAGATATCAAGAAGGGCAGTGTGGCACACAGGTAAGGAGTGTGTGCTTTCTCATTTGCCTGTTTCCTCCTGCGAGTGTATTTCTGTACTCTAGAGCTGAAAGTGATTTTTAGAGTCTTTTATGAGTTTAGCATGAGCATTTTCTTCAGGTTCATCTTCCATGTTTCATTTTCTAGTGAAGCCCCCAAAGTTATTTCAGTTCTGAGAAGTACCTCACCTAGAAATTATAGCTTAAGGGACAGCTTTGCTAGGTGCTATCATGTCCCCTTGGGGCAAGTAAGACTTTTGAACTTCCATTAATGTTTATGTTTCTGTTCTAATTCCCCTTCTGTTGATGTCATTTAAAAAAAAAAAAAGCTGACTAAGAGCGACTTTGGAGAGGAAAGGATTTGATTGGTTATAGTTCGAGATCATAGTCCCTTATGGAGAGAAGTCAGGGTCTCAAGTGGGAACTTGAAAGTGTACCTACTACCTTACATGCAGCAGTACTTCTGACCAGAGAATTCACAGTTAAGGAGGCACAGCAGAAACTGTGGAGGAGTGCTGCTTGCTGGCTTACTCATGAACTCATGATTAGCTCGGTTTTATGCAGTCCAAAACCACCTGCCTAGGGGATGGTGTTCCTCATAGTTGGCTGGATCCTCCTAAACCACTTAACCACCAAGAGAATCCATCACAAACATATCCACAGGCCAGGGTGATCTGGGCAGTCTCTTGACTGTCATTTCTTTCTCAGATGACTCTGGGCTGTATCTAAGTGTCATTTAAAGCTAAACTAGAATGGTCTCCTCCCTGGTCTGTATACATCTAAATAAGATAGTCTTATGTTTTCTATTTCACAGGTAAAAGTACATTTTAAGTAATCGAGCATGCCAATGTAATATTAACTTTCCTCTTATTTTTTTTAAATGAAGACCTTTAAAAACCCAACCTGTCATCATAATTGTGTTGTTAAAGAAATAATGTAACCAACAAAAAGTGTGGGGGACTGTTCAGATATATGGTATAGGCACAGCCATGTTGAAAAGTAAATTATTAGTATCGTGTATCAAACAAGAACCATGGAGAACACTGTAAGAGTTGAGATATATAGTATAGGCACAGCTGTGTTGAAAAGTAAATTATTAGTATCCTGTATATCAAAGAAGGACAAAAAAATTGTTTCTCATGTAACAGGTGGAAAGTGGGCGGGGGATCCAGAGCTGGGAAGCCATGACACCTACTTGCCATTCCTATTTCCTATCCATAAGTGGGAAGGGACTGGGGGTTGCTGCAGAAGAAAAGAGAGAATGAATATTGGGAAATAATTAGTAGACTCAAACACAGACATAAAATGTAAAGGAGAGCTCCTTAAAAAACACATATATATATGACATTCTCATTCCTTTTGTCATTGATTTATGAACTTTTAAAACTTCCAACAGACCTGCAAGTGGTCCAGAACCAGTATTGGACTCTCTGAGGCCATTTTCCAAATAGTTCCGTCAGATTCATCTATATGTTTGTCCTTTTCTCCAGCTTCAGTGAGTTTCCAGGTACATGAAGGAACAACCAAGGTCCTAGACCCAGTTCTCACTGACTCTGACCCACCTGGACTTCCCTCACTCCCTTATCTCTCTCCTAGGAGCTGATGGCCATGTATCAAGAGTGTGCATCAAGGTTGAGAGGAACACAAGGATATTTGGGGTTTCTTGTACCTGATACCCCCCTAAGGAGCTCTAGACTTCCTGAGTAAATGCCTAGGTTAAATTGAAAAAAGCATAAGGAAGATGTTTTAATAATATGCAATTTAACACCATAGCAGCCACCCCCAAATAAGACTGGGAAAAATGGATGCTTGTCAATAAAGTACAATTTCAAAACAGTTGAAAAACTTTCATTCTAAGGGTCACCAGAACATGGGATTGTGCTCAACGCCTCTTGAAGTGGCCTGCGTTGAGTACTCATCATAACTCATGCAGTACTGTGCCTTTGTTAACAGAACTGGAACGCTGGAACTTGGAGATAAGTTGCTTGCGATAGATAACATCCGGCTGGACAACTGTTCCATGGAAGACGCAGTCCAGATCCTCCAGCAGTGTGAAGACCTGGTGAAGCTCAAAATCCGCAAGGATGAAGATAACTCAGGTACTGACAGCATCCTTACCTAGGACTGACTTTTCCAACTGCCCGTCTGTGAAAAAGATAGTAAATTTTGGTGCTTTTCATGCAGCAGCTGGCTAGTTGATGTTATAACAGTGCTTCATATGGTTGTAAGAGTCTTTGGGTTGTACATTGAGTGTTGAGTGGATTTTAAATGATGCTTTCAATTTGTATAACAAAGTATTTTTTTATAAAAATTACAGCTATAGTAAGATAGTTTTAAGTATGAAAACTACATTACCATCAAATACTGCTCTAAGGTAATGGAACTGGTCATTTCTGAGCATTTGTTGATATTTGTAGCATATAACCATGGGGAATGTTGCATTTTTAACTTTGTAAATATTTAACTGGTTTACAAACTCTTACGTTTTTTTTTGTAATTTCAGTGATTTTGGTATCAAAGAGAGTGGTGTCATGTTTCATGCAGAGAAAGTTTTATTCAGATTTCCATCTTCCTTTGAATTATTTCCTTAGAAAACCTCTCTAAAACCAGGATTGCAGAATGAGAAGGAAAAGGAAACACTGGGATCCCTCGCACATTCTGACCCATGGTTTTTTGTTTCTTTAGTTGTTTTTTTTTTTTTTTTTTTTTTGAGTCATATCTATTCTAGGGGCGTCAGTAATGTGTGAACAGTAATGTGTGAGCAATGCTTCTCAGACCCTGTTATACCTCACAGTCTCCTGGAGAGCTTTGGAAACACTTCCCAGAAATTATCTCCAGGTGAAGTCCAGGATTCTTTTTTAACAAATTTCAAGGCAGTGCTAGCAGTAATACAAGGAACACGCCTTTAATAGCTCTACAGTAAAAGCCTTTTATCTGCTTATGATAATAACCTGGAACTAATTGAAAAGTCCATTTATTAAAATAACTCACTAATATGGAAATCCTAGAAATTGATTCAAATCTGTATCATAAAGACTTAATCTGAAAGGATGCCAATCTTAGCAATAAACTTAAGGCTCGTCCTATAAATGTGGTTCTGTGGATTATAGTTTCAAGTCTTTGTTTCTCTAAACTATACCTATAATATGCAGTTTGCTACTTCTGCATTAGTTTTCCATTTCTGAGACAAAATACTTAATAAAAACAATTTAAGGGAGGATATATTTGAACTCATGGTTCCAGAGGTCTCAATCCATGGTCAGCTGACTCCAGTGTGTATCATGGAGCATCATGGCAAAGGAGTGTGGGGAAATTAAGTTACCCACCTTATGGCAGCCAAGAAACAGGATAGAAAACAAGTAGGGGCTGGGGACAAGTTATACCCTCCACAGTGATGCCCAGTGTTCTGTTTCCTACACTCAGCTCCACTTCCTACTGGTTCATGCATTATAAACTGTCAAAAGATTAACCCATTGTTATGATTAGTACTGTCATGACTCAATTATCTCTCAATAATCCCTAGCTGAGGTCCAAGCCTTCAACACACAAACCTGGAGATAGCAGGGCAAAGGTGCATTTCATATTCCAATCAAACATTCCACTTCTGACTTCCAGAGGATTCATACCCAACTCAGGACGTAAAACGTATTCAGTCTATCTCCAGGAATTCCCAGAGCCTCTAGCTAGCATTGCATAAAAGTCCAAGTTCATTCTCTTCTGAGATCCAAGGCAGCAAAATCAGCATCAAGGTCTGTGGCCAACTTGAGCAGTGACTAGACCCACCTGGACCACAGCTAGAGCAGTTTCTGAGTTTTTGTTAGCTGAGCTCAGAGAAACACTTTCCTTGGCAGCCTGTGCATGAAAGGTTCCCTGGAGTGATCTTCTCCAATCAAAGTCTTCCAAAGGCTTGCTATCTTTATACCCTTGAGCCACTGATGGATGGGAACTGGCTAATTGCTGAGATGCTACCAAAGCATCTTTCTTGTTGTCCTAATGCAAAGTACTTGGCTAGTTTTTATGGCACTAATCTACCCAGCAAACTCACTTTATTTTCAGCCTTAAAGAGCTCCTCTTTTTTTTAAACCTAAACTCCAAGTTGGGCAAACCCTTCTGCTCTGCCTTTTCCTCCTGATTCTCACTATAAATCCAGAAGGAAACAATGAGCAGTATCCATGTCAGTCTAAACACTGTGCTATCTCAAAACTTCCATCGAATTAGTCCATGACCTTTAAATTTGGCATCTCACAAAGTATCAGGACACGGGGGAAAGTACAGACATATTCTTTCTCCGAATGTGATAATCATTCTCTCATCCAAGAGTGTCCTCATGGCCATCTGAACCTCATGAGCAATCGTTAATGATCCTGTCAGCAGTCTGGTCTTTAGAGTTCTCCGTAGAACCACCCAGTGTGCTCTCCTTGAAGAATTTTAAGCACTTTTGGAGTCTTTTCTCCAATTTTTTTTCCAAGTTCCTCCTACAAATCATTTCCAAAGACTTAGACATTGCACAGTGAGGGAGGGAGTCACAGCCACTACTTTACTTCTAAGCGTCAACTTCTCATGTTAGTTCATCCTTGCGCCGCTGTGACGGAATATCCGCTAAGACCGACATGAAGGAGGAAGGATTGATCTGTCACTCACGCTTTCAGTCAGTGGTCAGCTGGTTCTGCTACGGTGAGGTAATCACAGCCAAGAGCCATGATGGAACCGCACCACTCACCTGACAGCAGTGAGGAGACAGACAGACAGACAGACAAAAATAGAAAGACAAAGCTATTCCCCTCAAAGGCATTCTCCTAGTGAAATGGTTTTCCCAACCAGACTCTACCTCCTAAATGCTGATTTGGTAACATCATTAACACGGACAATTCATGTTCTGTGTCCGTTAAATATATTTATGTTAAATATATTATGTTAAACAAAATCAAACACAACTGGAAAGTGTTATAGTTTGGATATTAAGCATCTCCCCGGAGAGTCTTAGATACTGAAGGCTCTGCCCACCAAGCTGGTATACTATTGGGAGATGATTGGATTCTGAGGGCAGCAACATCATCAATGGATTAATGCTCTGACGAATTCATTCCAGTAAACAATGAGATTGTTGTAAATTCTTTAGATTTTTACACTAGTAAAAATAAATCCCCATTGTAATGTAATGTCTGTCACCCTTTAAATGACAATAGCATTTTTAGAGGTAGAAGAAAGGATTTTGAAAGTTTTTACAATAAAAAAATGATTATAAGTTATTTAATCAAGTTAAAGGTATCTACTTCTTCAAACATGAATAATTTCTTTATTATAAAAACTTTCAAAGGTGTATTTTAATTTTCAGGTGTGTGTGGTATGGGGTGTGTGCGTGTGTGTGTGTGTGTGTGTGTGTGTGTGTGTGTGTGTGTGTGTACATGTGCAAGTGCCCAAATGGGAGAAGAAGGTGTCAGATCCCATGATGCTAAAATTACAAGGAGTTGTGAGCCGCTTGACATGGGTGCTTGAAACTAAACCCAGGTCCTCTGGGAGAGCAATGTGAGTTCTTAACAACAGAGCTCGCTCTCTCCTCTCTCTCTCTCTCTCTCTCTCTCTCTCTCTCTCTCTCTCTCTCTCTCTCTCTCTCTCTGTCTGTCTCTCTCTCTCTCCCCACTTTACCTAACTTTTGATTTCCAACAATGATTTAGAATTTTTCCTCCCTGTAATTAAATTCATCAGATTTTTTTTATCAAAAACAACTAATTCTGTTTTCATATAAAAACTCCAGAGACACTTTATAAGTAATCTTAAATTACACAGTTACAGTAATACATGTAACTGACATAAACATGCTTGAGAATTGTTTTAATATCAGAATTACTTCTCTCACCACTGTGACAAAGCTCCTTGAATAGGAAACTGAATGGGAGGAATCATTCATTTTGATTCATGGTGTGGGAAGTTTTTGTCCATCCTGTCAGGGGGACGTGGTGAGGAAAAGGAGCTTACATCATGAAGGTGGGAGTATGTGGCCCAAGCTACTAACCTCGTGGACGGGGGGTGGGGAGCAAGAATGATGGAAGGGCCGTGGAGGATACAGCTTCCCACAACACGCCCCACTGAACCACTTCCTCCAGCCAGGTCCTGTCTCCTCAACTTCCCAGAACCTCCCAAAATAGCAGCACCAAGCCACATGAGCCAGTGGAGGATGTTTTATATTCAGACCACAACAGAAATAAGCTGTTTTTTTTCTATTTTTGTTTTGTTTTGTTTTATGACTGGAGCCGGAATAGGAAATGCAGTAAATAGGGGAATTAAAAAGAGAGAGAAAGATCTGTTATTTGAGATCATTCCACGGCATTGATTTGTGTGTTCTACAAGAGAAGATAGAGTGACAAAGTAATCCAGTAAATTGGTTAAGTAAAGACAGATTTTTAAATGCAGTATGTGTGTGTGTCATGTATTAATTCATTGACATTTATATGAATATATAATTTCATCCCAACTGCTTTGGACAGTTTTGCCTGATACTCGGAAGTAGAGAGGAGGCCAGGAGTTCCAGTCCCAAGATCCCTTTCAAGGACAGTGCCTCTAATGACCTAACTTCCTCCCTTTGGGCCCCACCTCCTAAGGGTCCCACCATGTCCTAGTGGTGACACAGACTAGTAATCAGTTATGACTAGTAGCCTTTAACATGGGTGCCTTCAGGGACACAAGATTGGATTCATAACATTAACCAATAAAAAAAATTGTCCACGTTCTAGAATCTTCTCATAACTAAATCATAATAGGTCTAGAGGTCACAAGCATGTCAAGCCATTTATTTAAGGTTTCTATTCACAGTGAAAGAAAAAAAACAGTAGTTACATCCATTGGTATGTATGATGTTTATAGCCAAATATATTTCATAATCATCATTTTAAAATGTGTACAAGCTTGTGCTTATTTTTTCTCAAACACTGATTTTGTGTGCCAAGTTTGCATCCCCCTCTTTTTAAGTGTGCTTCCCCTGCACTGGCTTGGGGGAATTTATTTCACGAAAAGGCTAAAGCCTCCAGCATCGACTGGGTTCCGTCCTAACGAAGAGGCAAAGCCCTGTGGAAAATCCGACTTAGCCTGGTTTGCCCAACTC